TTCTAGCTCTGCCAGTCTCCACCTCGGGATGGAATCCACAGGAGGCCCCAGCGTTAGAGACATCACAAGCCACCACAGAGAGGGGAAGAAAAGACGAAAGGAGGCGACACACCCGGAGAAGCGACCCTTCGGGGAGAGCCCGCCTGGGGTCTTGAGCTCACAGGCGAGGAGCTCCTTTTGTGAGGCAGGGACGACCTCCCGCAGCAGAGAGGCGCTAGGCAGGAGCCCCTCCGACGCCGCGGGATGCCGAGCGGCGCTATTGAAGCCACAGACGCGGCCGGCCCGAAAGGCGCTGCTCCCTGCGCGCCTGCTGTGGGCCCCCTGGCGCAGCGGAGGCGCAGAGGCCGCACTGCTGGGCCACTTTGTCCCCTCCCCGATTGGCCATACCTTTTTTTTCCCTTTAAAAAACTGCTTGAAGAATCTTTGCGTTTAGATTTCTCTAGAGTGAGTGAGTGTGTGTGTGTGTGTGTGTGTGTGTGTATGTGTGTGTATGGGTGTCTGTACATATGTGTATATGTGTGTTTGTGTAGTATTTCTTTAGATCTCTATTTCCCCGGACCTTGCTGTCTTCTCCTGCGGGGGTAGGGGGCGAACCCTCTTTTTGATAGCTGTTAACATCATAATTAATCTATGCAGACAGAGCCTGGGGAGTTCAGCCTCACTATTACCCAGCTCTGCTATCAAGCATGTAGTACCTAAGTACTCTGTGCCTCAATTGTCTCATCTGACAAATAGGGATAACAAGGGCTGCTTCTGTACAGGATTGATATAAAAGTTAAATGAAGCACTTTATAGAAAATGCATAGCCTGGTGTCTGGCACACAGGGAGTATGAACTGCTGTCTCTCTTGATGTCTTCATCACAAATGGGTGAATGCAGTCTAGGTTCAGTAAAAGCCTTCCTTCATCTCAGCCATCACCTCCTTCAGGAAGCCCTACCTGATTTCTCCCTATCCCTTCTGCCCAGCCTGGATCAGTTGTCCTTCCTGTATTCTCTTAGAGCACTGATCACACTGCACTCACTGGAGCTGTGTGCACGCATATCTGTTTTCTGCACCGAAGCGGGAGCTGCAATAAGGAGTGTGTTTTATCCAATCACAGAGGTTGTGAAACTTAGGGACTAGCAAGTATATGCTGAGTGAATAATGGAAGCTTCCATTTATGTAGTCAGTGGTGAAAGACTTAAAGCCTGAACCTGGAGGCTGAACCGTGGAGCTATCTCAGTGGTAGCACCGTGGATTCTGCTTTTCCCCTTACCAGAAACAGTTCCAAAGTCACTGAGTCACAGAAAGTGAGAGACAGAGATTGGAAGTTCAGTTTTGTTATTTTCAGGTCAGGAAGTGGAAGCCTCCAGAGGCCCAGGGGTTTATGGAGGCCTCATGCCATGCAGGAGCACCATGGCAAAGCAGTGCTCCCATCCTGACCTGTTGAGCTGTCACTCACTTGTTGCTGCACCGAGCCAGGGCACACAAATGGCACAGGGTTGGCCTCCTCCCAGACTGTCACCTGAGGGAGGCTGGGTGGTAGCAGAGATTCATGTAGGACACAGTGAAGGTGGCAGGCCAGCCCTTCCTGGAAGTGGGGGTGGGGGCTGAGCTTGGGAAGGAGGCCTGGCCCCAGTCCTGGATCTGCGGCCTATCACTGTGCAAGCCTGAGCGACTCATGGATGCCCAGGGCATGAGAATGGGATGGGGCCCCAGAGATGATCCATCCCGACCTCTTTGGTTTATGGGAAAGGAGACCAAGGCCCAGATAAGTGACCTGCCCTTCCCTGAACTATAGACTTAATCAAAGGCACAGCTGGTAAATGAATCCATGTCTTTTGAATCTGAAACCTAGTTTCCTCAATGAATGGATTCCAGTGTTTCCCAGATATCAATGGGCATATGAATCACTGGAGGACCTTGTTATAACACAGGCAGGATGGGGGTGAGACCCCAGATTCTCTTTCCTAATAAGCTCCCAGGTGCTAGCTAGAATGGCTCTAGGTAGGTGGTTCTTAGAAAAATCAGTGGTGTAGACTGCGCTATGATGAAACTACTTGGTGTACTAGCCACGAATTAGTGTAGTCTTATCAGGTCAATGAGGACATTGGCTGCTGGGACATTCACCGAGATGCTGATAGAGCCAGGGTCCTTCCCCATCAGCATTAGTCACCTGTTGCCCTGTTGGCTGCTTCTGGGTCTATGGTGAAGATGCAGGTTCTGGCTAGGGGCTGTAGGTTCCTTGATTGCACCCTAGTTAGAGGGCTGTGACTTACTCAAGGCATCAGAATCACCTGAGCACTTACTAAAAATGCAAATCGTCAGGCCTCAGCCCAGATCTAGTGAATTAGAAACTCAGGGTGGGGCCTAGAAATCTTTAACAAGCCTTACAGGCGATTCTGATGCACACACTGAAGTTTCAGAACCATTGGCCTAGGAAATAAACAAGAATTGAGATAAGAATTTAAATTTTATTGTTTCCTTGGACTTTGGACAGGGGTAGAGGGGTGGAAAGTTTTGTATTTAAAGCCAGAGCAATTTTTCAAAGCCACTTTGATTTGGAGGTTGCTGATTTGACCTGTCTTGTGGAAACTTGCATGAAGTGTTCTCACCAAGTCTAAGATGCATGATATTCTCACTGCAGGTGAAAACTGATTCACTGCTTATAACTAACCGTGAAGATCACAACTTAATTGAGTAGGAAAAAAATCCTGGTAGTTATCCTTAAGACCTATGGGGGAGAAAATTGATCCTTTTTTTGTTTTTTTCTTTTGAGACAGGGTCTGGTTATGTTGCCCAGGCTGGAGTGCAGTGGGATGATCATAGCATAGCTCACAGCAGCCTCAAACTCCTGGGTTCCAGGGATCCTCCCACCTCAGCCTCTGGACTGATGACACTACAGGCATGTGCCACCATGCCCAAGGACTTTACAACTTTTTTGTAGAGATAGGGTCTTGCTGTGTTGCCCAGGCTGGTCTCAGACTCCTGACCTCAAGTGATCTTAGTGCCTTAGCCTCCCGAAGCGTTGAGATGACAGGCGTGAACCACTGTGTCTGGCTGAAAACTGATCCTTAAATAGTTAAAAAAAAAATTCCTTGGTGCTCCCTCCTCTTTTTCCTTCAAAGACTTGAAGTTCTTTCTAAACATTAGCATTTATCATTCAGGACAGGAAAATGCCTTCTTTAATTTTCTGTGGTGATATGTCATTGCATTAAAGATGGTCTGAATAACCTTTATGCAGCCCAGCTGGTGCCTGCCCTTCTGTCATGAGACAGGAAATCTGTGTTGACTGACTTGGTCATTGCTTAGGTTTGGCCATGTTCTGTGCTCCCTAAAACCTCCATTGCACTTGGCCAAGCTCTCGGAGCCCTGTCAGTGTGCACATTCTGCATGTGTGATTTATGATATGGCAGATCTGAAGACTGGAGCCTGTTTCTCTGGACAATGTCACTCTGCCTTGAAAGTGGAGGTGGTAAGAGCTCATGTGAACAGAAACCTGCTTACAGCTTGACCAAACCCAGCATCAGGCTACCATAATGTCTGATATCCCCAAAACAACAAGCTCTTGTAAAATTAGTATAAAAATTAATTAAGACTGGATGTTAACTGAAGGACATGGTAAAAGACATAAACAGAAAAAGATCAAGTTAAGGCTGAAATCCAAAATCTGTGACTTTACACATTTATGTCTTTTTTTTTTCGTTTTTTGATATGAAGTGCAACGGTGCAATCTCAGCTCACCGAAAACTCCGCCTCCCAGATTCAAGCAATTTTCCTGCCTCAGCCTCTCCAGTAGCTGGGATTACAGGTATGCACCACCACACCCGGCAAATTTTGTATTTTTAGTAGAGACAGGATTTCTCCATGTTGGCCACGTTGGTCTCGAACTCCTGGACCTCAGGTGATCTGTCCACCTGGGCCTCCCAAAGAGCTGGGATTACAGGCGTGAACCACCGTGCCCGGCCTACACATTTATCTTGTTTGCTCTTTTGGGTTCCCACACCCCACAGAGTTCCAGAGGAGATAGGGAGAGTCATGGTGTCATTTCCCAGATTGGTAAATAGTGACCATGAGAATGTAGCTATTGATTCGTTGTGATATCCAAGTTGAGACTGCTCCCTCTGCTGGACAGCTTTGTACAAGTACCGTCCTGTACTGGCCCTGCATACACTCCAACATCCAGAGATGTAGGTGACAGGGGCTAGGACTGTAAAGATGACAGTCCCCACTCTGTTAAAATATTATATATCCCTCTAAGCAGGGGACCCCAACCCCCTCACCTGCATATCCAAGCCCCCATGAAAGCAAGAGGAACAGAGAGATGGAGGTACCTGTGGGACCTTTTGGTAATGCCCCAGTCTCCACTCTCTTACATCATCAATCTGCCGCCTCTGGCAGAAAAGAAATCCTTCAACAAGTCCAAGAACATAAAGCATGTTATTATCATTCGGCTTGTGATCCACCAAGCCATGCACTAACACAGCAGAGTCTGAACTCAGCACTTTGGTCTGTGTTCCGACTTCCAACCAATGATCTGAAAGAAACTTGGAAGGCTCATTCTCCATCATTTTTTTTTTTTTTTTTTTGAGACACAGTCTTGCTCTGTCACACAGGCTGGAGTGCAATGACGCAACCTTGGCTCACTGCAACCTCCGCCTCCCGGGTTCAAGCAATTCTCCTGTCTCAGCTTCCCGAGTAGCTGGGATTACAGATGCCCACCACCACGCCTGGCTAATTTTTGTTTTTTGTATTTTTAGTAGGGACGGGATTTTGCCATGTTGGCCAGGCTGGTCTTGAACTCCTAGCCTCATCCACCTGCCTCAGTCTCCCAGAGTGCTGGGATTACAGGCGTGAGCCACTGCACCTGCCCCCCAATTAACATCTTTTAACAGTGCAGAGTTCATCTGACAATTATGATTATAAGCTTATAAAGTCCCCGGAGTCAGATGTTCAAGGACAGGAAAAATAAAAAATTAAAAAATAAAATAAAAATAAAGTCCCAGCCAGAGGTCTCTACCTTGGTTGTCGTGATGAGTTTCTCTAAGGGATCTTCCTGCTTCTTCCTGATAGTCCAGTGCCTCTCCACTTTCCTGCTGGGTTAACACACAACAAAAAATACATTAGACAAAATAAACGCAAACACTTTAAACACTTCTGTAGTCGACACCCTTTGGTAAAAGGGAATCCACTTTTCTTAGTGGTTTCTTCTTCTTCATCAACTTGTTTTTACTTAAGTCTCCAGGAAGGCTGCTACTAGTGTTAAACAGGCTTAAAGAGCCAGGCAGGGCTGGACATGGTAATAGGCACCTGTAGTCTCAGCTACTTAGGAGGCTGAGACGGGAGAATCGCTTGAAGCAGGAATTCCCAGGAGTTTGAGTCCAGCCTGGATAGCAAGACCCTGGACCCTGTCTCTTAAACAAAGAAGAAGAAGAAGAAAAAAATCCAGGGCCAGGCAGGCACGAGCAGTGTTGAGCACTGTGACCTTCCTGCTTGTACTTATTTTCGTGAGGTCTTGTATCATTCACCTGTGCACTGTTCAATGCCTGGCATTTGCAGGAGTTTATTGGGGGAGAGAGAAGAAGGTCATGACAGAGGCAATCTGGCAGAAGGAAGCAGGGTACCTCCAGGACCTGAGGGAAGACTGGTGTGACTAGAGCAGAGACTGGGAGAACTGCACAGGGTTGGGAGGAGTCAGACCCCTATGGCCTTGCAGGCAGGTTGAGGACTTTGGTCTTTATCTTGAGAACAAATGGAAAGCATGCAGGATTTAAAGCAGGGGAGCCAAAGGGTCAGACAGCCTTTTGTGGCATTCCAGGGATTACCACGGATTGGGTTTCTTATCACATTTGATCCCTTCTTCCTTCTCTCCTTGAGTCATACAAGCTGCTTGGAATCCCTCCTCCCAGCAATCTCCATAACTGCGGTTATCAACCCTGGCTGCACATCAGAAGTATTTGAGAAGTTTTAGAAAATATGATTCCCAGGATCTAACTCCAAATAATAACAGTCAGGCTCTCTGGAGTTGGGGCATTTTAAGGCTTCTAGGTTGAGTTTGATATGCAGCCAGGACTGAGAATCATGCTCTTCTCTAGAGCATTGGAAGAGCAGCTCTTCAGTGTCAAAGTAATGTGGCAGGTGGAGTTGGTGACCCAAGTAAGGCCAGTATGTCTGATGAGGCCAGCTCTGGGCCTTTGTCGCCTGGATCCCTGCTCAACTCACAGCTTCATCTCGGTGCTAGAGCTGGAATCTGACATGAAGGGTCCTGGGAGTCTCTCCCGGGTTACCCTCATTCTGTAGTGACAGTCACCTTTCTACTTTGTTATCAAAGTCCCAACCTGCTTGAGAAGAGAAAACTAATTACCTGCTATTTTGGCACTCTCTTTAACTCCCCTCTGAGTTCCCTCACTTGGTGGCTTTCCACCTTGCGTGTTTGTTTCTCGCTTGTTAGCTTAGTGTTTTTTTTTTTTTTTTTGAGACGGAGTTTTGCTCTTGTTACCCAGGCTGGAGTGCAATGGGGCGATCTCGGCTCACCGCAACCTCCGTCACCTGGGTTCAAGCAATTCTCCTGCCTCAGCCTCCCGAGTAGCTGGGACTACAGGCATGCGCCATCATGCCCAGCTAATTTTTGTATTTTTAGTAGAGACGGGGTTTCACCATGTTGACCAGGATGGTCTCGATCTCTTGACCTCGTGATCCACCCGCCTCGGCCTCCCAAAGTGCTGGGATTACAAGCGTGAGCCACCGTGCCCGGCCAGCTTAGTGTTTATAGCTGATGATATATACTGACATAAAAAAGCTAACACAAGTAAATAATTTTCTTACTTTTGGGTTTTTATTTTGGAGACAGAGCCAATTTGGGCTGGTACAGTTAAAAAAAAATCCCTGAATAAACGGAAAAGAGTAAGAGGCTAAGTTAGAAGCACAGGAAAGAGAAACTTGAAAAACAGAATCACTGGTTATAAAGCCTTTGACTCTAACAAGAAACTGTATTGAGAGGGAGAGCCAAGCTTCCTCTTTTGGAAGAATTTTAATACCAAGAAGGATAAACTTTCAGTCTCAATAACATGCAGCCATGAGCTTTCAGGGGCAAGGAATATCTTCTCATTTCACAGAGTGGGAGAGGGAGACAGAGAAACTCAGGGATTTGTAAAAATATTTTCAGGAGAGTCCTTGTTAGAAAAAAATAGTCTTAATTTGTAACTCTGTCCATTCAATTGTATGTTGCTTAGGAAAGTGTCAAAGAGCTATCATTTTTGAGTTATAAGAATATGCATGTGGCTGGGTGCAGTGGCTCACGCCTATAATCCCAGCACTTTGGGAGTCTGAGGTGGGCAGATCACGAGGTCAAGAGATCGAGACCATCGTGGCCAACATGGTGAAACCCCATCTCTAAAAAAAAAAAAGACTCTGAACAATGTGTATAATATGCTAAAACTTGCATATACTATCTATCTGTGTATGCATCTATCTGTATTTGCTTATATATGCATCATACATCCCAGAAAGGGGAACCCGGGAAACTGGCAATAGTGGTAGTTCGAGGGAAAGGAACAGAGCGGCTGGAACACACACTCTTTTGTACTTAAATTGGAAAAAAACTCTTTTGAATATATTTCAGATTCAAAATTTGAATTAAAGAAACTAAATGGGCTGGGCGCGGTGGCTCACGCCTGTAATCCCAGCGCTTTGGGAGGCCGAGGTGGGTGGATCACCTGAGGTTAGGAGTTTGAGACCAGCTTGACCAACATGGTGAAACCCTGCCTCTACTAAAAAACAAAACAAAACAAAAATTAACTGGGCATGGTGGTAGGCACCTGTAATCCTAGCTACTCAGGAGGCTGAGGAAGGAGAATCGCTTGCACCCAGGAGGTGGAGGTTGCAGTGTGCTGAGATTGTGCCATTGCACTCCAGCCTAGACAACAGAGTGAAACTCTGTCTCAAAAANAAAAAAAAAAAAAAAGAAACTAAACCTAAATAAAATGCTATGTCACTTTTCGTCTGAGTTACGAATGTCATGATTAAAACTGAGTGATGGAAACACAGGTAATAATTCTTGGTGAGTGAGCAAAACAAATGGAGGGACCGCAAATTCAGATCCCAGGTCTGTTGTTCCAGCCAGTGCTCTTCCTCTGTTCATTCAGCTAATGAACATTTATTGAGTGTCTGCTGTGTGCCAGGTACTGAGATAGGCACTGGGGGCACAAAGATGAAAGATGTAGTCGTAGGACGCTCACTGACTTGTGGGGAAATGACAAGTCAGTTCGCAATGCAGCGTGATAAATGTTGTGGCAGATTATGACAGGTTTCTGCAGGGCCTCATGGGAGGTGAAGCTAAATTAGGCTGGGAAGGTTGTTTACCAGCAGACACAGTGCTAAATCTTGCAGTGAAGGGAAGGTAGAACAATTCCAGGCAGAGGAAGCGGCATGTGCTGGTTAGGGGATAGTTTGGTGCGGGGGCAGTGTGTGGACACGGTAAATTAGACACAGGCCAGATCTTGCATGTTACAGTTTGGAGTTTAAGAAAAATTGCACGTTATATATTTTTGTATTTGTAAAATAAATACATCTTTGATGCTGGGAATTTAAACAGAGGGCCAATGGGGACACAGTAAAGAATTTCAAGCAAACCAGTGATAAGACTGAGCTATATTTAGAAAGAGCAGTGGCAGCAGTGTGGTATTATAAGACTGGGGGAGGAGGAAGAGTCACAAACACTTTGTGAACACAAACTTCAGCATTGAAACCAACATGTGAGAAGCAGTTTCTCCGGTGGCTGAGTTATAGGTCCTACAGTCAGGCTGTCTGCATTAAAGTCCTAACTCCTACACTTGATGTCTTACAGACCATGGGAGTTACTTAACCTCTGAGCCTCAGTTTCTTCAACTGGAAACAGACAGATACTGGACAAATAATCTTGGGTTATCTGTCCTTGGAAAACCTTCCAGCCATCCTGCCCTCCACTCTCATACACAGCACCCTATCTGGGCACATTACTTTTAGGACCACAGCAGGCTTTCTTGGGGAGCTGCTGGGAGGACGGGGGAGCTGCTGGGAGGATGGAGGAGCATGGGATGCAGGAGTTTGAGGTGTGGCCTCCAGCCTGCCTTGAAATATCTGCATGGCTTATCACTGAACCTCAGCTTCTACACCTGTGAAATGGGAGTAATAATAAATAAGCATACAGAGTTCTCAAAAGGCTTAGCTGGAAAAATACATTTGGAAATTCCACGTAACATACCATGTGATATATGAATATAAATGACTAATTTCAATACTTTCTTGATGATAGCTTTTTTCTTTTGGAGCTAGAACAAACTCATAAATATTTTTCCTGGCAATATTAGTCAAGTGTCCTGGAACCACTAAATCTTGAGACCAGCTCGTGATCCCTCTACAACTTTCCTGCCAAGTGGTCATCAAGGCACATTTAAATGCTTCTGGAGACCAGAACTTATCTCCTAAGGCACCCTGCTCCATCTTTAGACAATGTCCTAAGCCAAGCATTGTTTCCCTGTTGTATGTGAAATCCACAGATTGAGGGGCAGCCCCCCTCTGCTTGGTGTGATGCATGTACACCTGGCCACATAAGTAAAGCTTGGGACTGGCCTCAAAACAGGTGGGGCAGCTCTAACTGTAGGCACAGCTGGCTCTTGTCTGTCCAGGCCAATTCCTCTACTTTGCATTTGAGGGCACTATGTGCTAACTGTGTGGGAACTGCGAGGTGGAAGCTTATTTCTAATTCTTCAGATGCTCTGGGCATAACATACACACCCTTTGATAACAACGTGGAGTATAAGGATATTCAATTCGGTGTCTAACATTACTGCTATTTTCTTCCCTACTACCATGACCTATCCCTGATAATTTAAAAAGTCCCTGAAAAAAAAAAATCTATCCTTATTCATTCATCAATTACCATTTCTTTTTGAAAAACAAAATCAAGTTTTTAAAAATATGGTTCAAAAAATTTTTTTTCTTCTTTTTTGGTTTAGAAAACAGGCTGGTCTTGGCCAGGCGCAGTGGCTCAAACTTGTAATCCCAGCACTTTGGGAGATTGAGGTGGGTGGATCACCTGAGGTCAGGAGTTCGAGACCAGCCTGACCAACATGGAGAAACCCCGTCTCTACTAAAAATACAGCTCATTCTATACAGTCAGCACATACAGGCTGCCCTCCATTCCTGGAGCTATGTAGAAACCACTTCAGCCTGTGTGCTGACTGTATAGAATGAGCTGGTTTCTACCTGGCTCCAGGAGTGGAGGGCAGCCTGTGTGCTGACTGTATAGAATGAGCTGGTTTCTACCTGGCTCCAGGTGTGGAGGGCAGCCTGCTTGCTGTTCTCTGTTTGAACTTACCATCTTTGTCTGTACTACCCTGAGACTGTGTCTTACTGTACGGCAATCCCTAAGAACCTGGGAGCTACCACATCTGTAAGGAGGTCCATCTAGGGACTGTGAACACTGAACCTTTCCAGGAAAAGCCATGGTCTTTTGGGCAAATACTGGCCTGGGAGTCAGAAAGTGTACTGAACGTGTACTTTGTGAGTCCCCTGGAAGCAGGCTGAGTTGCCATTTCTGTGAGTCTTGAGGGAGGTGGACAGGAAAGTGGGCCTCAGGTTTGACAACTCTTTTCCTTCTATAATACTGTGCCAAAATTACTGGATGAAATAAGTGTAACATGAAAGCATTGTGGATACTAAATATACAAGCAATTATTGTAAAATTCTCTACTTTGAATTCTGCAGTTCTTAGATGCTCCGCATTTTCTTATCTCATTTCCCCAGCAGCTAGCACCTTTGAACGTGCTACGCACTCTGCTTGCTTATTGTGTCCGTTGTCTGTTCTCTGTACTATCCTGGGGCAGGGCAGGGATCTTGATCTGTTTTGTTCATTGACGTATCCCAAATGCCCCCAAACTGCCAAACACATAGTAGATAGCAGGTGCTCAAATATCGGTTAAATGAATGGTAACAACAACAAAAAAAATGAATGGTAACTGTGATATTTCCTCCCAGAAAGTACAATTCATAATTCTTTCAGCCCCAAGAGAATAACTAAACTGTGGCTAAGAACAAAAGGGAAGGTTTCACTAACGTAAGTTATGGAGCATGGCAATCTTTTTTGAATACTTGTAGAAAACATCTTTTCTTTTGTGGTCCAGAATCATTCTCCTTTCCTGTAGTTTTTTTTTTTTTTTCCTATGGAGATAGGGTCTCATATGTTGCCCAGGCTGGAATGCAGTGGCTATTGCAGGTGTAATCATAGCACACTACAACCTTGAACTCCCAGACTCAAGTGATCCTCCCATCTCAATCTCCTGAGTAGCTGAAATTCCTTTTTATAGTTTTCAGTACTCCATTTTCCTCTTCAGATATGCTTTCTCTTCCCATTCTCAGTCCCTGTGGTTCTAGGGTGGGCCAGTGGCTTTCATTTGGGTATAGATAAGTGACCTGTGTTGGTTTACATTCAGTTCTGGAATGATCTGGGAAACAGAAGATGGTGGCCAGCTTGCCACCCCTGGGGAAGAGCCTATCTAAGAAGAAGCCCTGAAAAGCAGAGCCCATTCATGGACAGAGACAGATTTTGGGCAAATGCACAACTCGTAATCAAAGCCCCACCTTGTAGAATTGGGATTGGGGCAGCCCAGAGAATTAGGAGGGTGACCCTCATGACTTCCAAAGGTGCTGCCAGGCTATGGCACCAGATAGAGCCATCATCATGCACTAGGCAAGTATTTGGTTTCTTCTGCCCCGTTCCTGTCTTTCTCAGTTGTTCTTATCAAGGGCCTGGAATATTTCCTCCAGGGTACTATGAAGGATCTGAGGTCCTTCCATGCCAGGCCTGGCTCTGTTCCTGGTCAGTTTCTTTGACTCCATGGCTATTTATTTCCAGTTCAGTAAGCTCTGAGGAGGGCAAAGAATGGGTAGGAAAGGGGCCCTAAACCAGAGGGTGTGGGATGAAAAGGATGGGTCAATTCATGGAGCATTTAATGAGCACCTTCCACGCGTCGGGCGCTGTGTTCGACGCTGGGGTGGGAGGGAGTATGGCAAAGATGGACAAATGCCATCCTCACTACAGAAACCCTCAGTACCCTTAACTTGAAATGAAGCTGAGCTTGAGAGATCAATGAACTCTTAGAGAACAGAAAGCAAGGCCAGATATCCAGAAAGGAATTTGCAGTTGACTTCTAAATAGTTAGCTCAAGAATCAGTCTTCTCTACAGTCGTAACATCAACTCTACCAAGTGATAGTGGTAAAACAGTAACAATTATTTTAGTTACTGTCAAGATAAAATGAATTGTATTTGCCTGTTTTATAAGGTGGTTTAAAGTTACTCTTTCTCCTCTCTGTTCCCTGTCCCCCACCACCCAAACCAGACACCCGACTGATTTGTCCCCGATGGCTGGCTGTGATTACTGTCCTAATTTGTTCTTTCCTCATCTGCTACAAACTGCCTATTTTCTGTACTTCTGATAATGCAGGAGCTCTCAGGGACTTCTGAAGCTGTTTTTGTACCATGCAGAAGTGTATTAACTGGAATTCCTATGTTTGTGTCTATAAAACCCCTCGTCTTCTCAGTGTGAGATCACCTTCAGGAACGGCGTCATGTTGATGTGCAGCTTGCACGTGTAAAATTCTTTTCTGTTTGAACATATCAGCCCTTTATTTATACAACTTTGAGGCTCTCTTGTCTTCTGAGCTGCTGCCTCCAAGGACTGCTGGGCTCCCTGTGAAGAGAAGCAGAAAGCCCAAACTTTCATATGAATGATACACGGTGCAACAAGAGCTAGTCCAAATCCCCAAATATTTATAGAAAGCAATTTTTAAAATCACTGACATGGTAATAGACAACACCTATTTTTACTGTTGAAGACACAGAGGACCCTATAGAGAGAAAATACCCCAAGACTGTTTATTAATTAATACCTATGGAAGTGGAAAAAGGGAGCTTCCTAGGTCCCAGTTTTTTTTTTTTTTTTTTTTTGAGTTTCGCTCTTGTTGCCCAGGCTAGAGTACAATGGCGTGATCTTGGCTCACCGCAACCTCTGCCTCCTGGGTTCAAGCAATTCTCCTGCCTCAGCCTCCC